GGTTAAACAAGCAAGTCGGTAAATGTGATTCATCACATAAACAGAATTAAAAGATAAAAACCATATGATCATCTCGAGAGACGCAGAAAAGTCATTTGATAAAATCCAGCATCCCTTTGTGATAAAATTACTCAACAAGCTAGATAGAGAAGAAACATACATAACTCAAAATAATACAAGCCATATATGAAAAACCCACTGCCAACATTATAATGACCAGGGAAACATTCAAAACATTCCCCTTAAGAATTGGAAAAAGACAAGGATGCCCACTTTCACCAGTCCTATTCAATGTAGTACTGGAAGTCCTAGTAAAAACAATCAGAAAAGAAAAGAAATAAAGGGCACCCAAATTGGAAAACAGGAAGACGAACTAACTACATTTGCTGGTGATACAATCTTATACCTAGAAACCCTAAATGTTTCTCAAAAAGACTCCTAGTTCTGATAAATGAATTCAGTAATGTAAAAGATTATAAAATCAATCTATTCAAATAAGTAGCACTGCTACAAACCAACAATTATCATGCTGAGAATCAAATCAAGAACTCAACCTCTTTTACAACAGTTTACAAACAATACTTAGGAATATATTTAATCAAGGAGGTGAAAGATATCTACAAGGAGAGAACTTTGTAGAGATCTCCTTGTAGAGATCTTTCACCTCCTTGATTACAAAACAGTGCTGAAAGATATCAAAAGTGACACAAACAAATGGAAGTACATCCCATGCTCATGGATCAAAAGAACATTGTGAAAATGACAATACTGTCCAAAGCATTCTACAGATTCAGTACAATTCCCATCAAAATATGGATATCATTTTTCACAGAATTTAAAAAAAATTCTAAAATTCACATGAAACCAAAAAAGAGCCAGAATTACCAAAGCAATCCTAAGCAAAAGGAGCAAATCCAGAGGCATCATATTACCTGACTTCAAATTATACCATTAGGATACAGTAACCAAAAGAGCATGGTGCTGGCATAAAAGTAGACACATATTCCAATGCAACAGAATAGAGAGCCCAGAAATAAAAACCAAACATTTACAACCAACTGTTCTTTGACAAATCATGGAAAACCATAAATTGGGAAAATAATGCCCTATTCAATAAATGGTGATGGGAAAATTGGATAGTCACACACACAACAATGAAACTGGATACCTATTTCTCACTTTGCACAACAATTAACTCAAGATATATTAAGACTTAAATCGGAGACCTGAAACTGTAAAAATTATACAAGCAATTCTTCCAGCATTGGCTTAAGGGAAGAATTTATCACTAAGACCCCAAAAATGCAACAAAACTAAAAATGAATAAATATAACTTAATTAAATTAAAAATCTCTGCAAAACAAAAGAAATAATCATCAGAGTAAACAACCTGCAGAATGAGAGAATTTTTTGCAAATTATGCATTCAAAAAAGACTAATATCTAGAATCTGCAAGTCAACTCAAATCAGCCAGGAAAAAAAGACAAATAATCCCATTAAAAAGTAGACAAAGGACATGCACATACATTCCTCAAAAGAAGATATACAAATGGCCAAAAAGCTTATGAAAAAATCTCCATACTGAATGATCAGGGAATTGCAAATCAAAACCAAAATAAAATAGCACCTTACTCCAGCCAGAATGACTGTTACTGAAATGCCAAAAAAAAAAAAGAAAAAAAACCAGTAGATACTGATGTGGACGTGGTGAAAAAAGAATGAATGTACAATGTTGGTGGAAATGTAAATTAGCACAATCTCCATGAAAAACAGTATGAGGATTTCTCAAAGATCTAAAAGAAGATCTACCATTAGATTCAACAATCCACTGCTGGGTAACTACCCACAGGAAAATAAATCACTATATCAAAAAGACTCTAGTGCACAGCACACATACATTTATTGTAACGCAATTCACAATTGCAAAGATATGAAACCAACTTAAATGCCTATTATCCAATGAGCAGATTAAGAAAATATGATTTATATACACTATAAAATACTGCTTGGATATTAAATAATGAATTAATGTCTTTCACAGCATCTTGGATGGAACTCGAGGCCATTATTCTATGTGAAGTAATGTAAAAATCAAAAACCCAGTACCACAAGTTTTCACTAATAAGCTGGAGCTAAGCTCTTGGGGACACAAAGACATACACAGTGGTATAATGGACATTGCACACTCATAATGGGGGAGGGTGGAGGGGGAGTGAGGGATAATAAACTACCTATTGGGTACACTAAGTGATGAGTGCATTAAATTCTAGTCTTCACCACCATATACTTCATCCATATAACCAAAACCCACTGGTACCCCTAAAGCTACTGATATTTAATTTCTTAAACAATTAAAAAACAAAAATAAATTTTAAAAGGGAGAAGCAACAAATATGGGAAAGCTGAAAGAATGGAGAATTGAAGGGTGAGTTGTCCTGGCCCAGGAGAAAAGAGAACAAGCCAGAAAGGCTTAGCATAAATGCAACAGAATCCAGGTTAATTTCCTAGTAGAACTGACACTATTTGAGACTTGTTCCAGCTTGCCAGACTTGAAACGGCCAAAGACTGAACAGGTAGTGATGCTGACTGCCTTGCAGTGCTTTCCAGAGATAGGCAGCACATCCAGGCCTGCTCCATGGCAGGTCCGAAATGAGGAATCCCAAAATGCAGGCTGCTCCTGTGAATAATCCAAGCACTGATCAGCAGATCACAAATTTATTTAAGGCCAGCAGGGAAGGAAGTAGGCATCAAGGGCCTCCTAAGTTTGTCTGATCAGCTCAGAAGGCAAGGAGGTAACGGGATGCTATAGATAGTTCTCCAAAATGAGTGAACCGTTATTTGCATCTCATTGGGGAATAGGTGATGGTGCCAACATAAAAGGACAGACAGGCATCTGCTTCACCATCATACTTTGAAGCTCCTAGGAGTTTAGACCCAGCCTCATGGCTCTAATGATATTAGAGCAATATCTTCCTCAATGTGTGGCTTTGGCAAATGAGGGCATGAATACTTCCCATTGAGCTTAAAGGAAAAGCTGAAAAAATTGCATCATCTTCCTTAGTTTCACCATCAGTAAATAGGATTCATGATCTTGGACTAAGGGGCTTTGGAGTTCTTTTGGTCAAATCCTGTTTATGAGAGCAAGGCATGTGGCTTGCTTGCCCTGAGCAATTGAGAGATGCTCCTGAACAGAGGAGAACAATGAACTGTGGTTCCCAACAGCATAGTGAATGCTTCCTATTAGCTCACTATCCTTTGCAGTAAATCAACTTAACTCTCCATTACAATAGATGGCAACAGTGCATTACTTGTCAGCAACATGCTGCAATAATAAGGCTCTTTCAGACAGCTTCTCAAATACAGATAGTGATGTCTGTGGAGAAACAGAACTGCTTTTAAAATGAATATGAGCAGTAGCTTCATATTAAGGCCAGATCCAGTATTTCAACAGGAAGATTCCTGAATTTTCTTGCATGCCAAGAATTTTATGGAAAAGAGCAGATGAGAAGTCATTATTTAATTGAAAACTCTGTAAGAAATTGGGCTCCTATTAATTTAGAGAAATATAGCCTCTGAAATGTCTGAAGCTTACAGACAAATTGTCTGGTGGACTTTGGAACCAGACAGAACACCTAAATGTAAAGTCTGTCTCTGCAGATTACCAGCTGTGGTACTGTAGGTGGGTTATTTATCCAACCACCTCTCAAAACCTTGCATGTGTAATGGAAGCAATAATAGCTCTTTCTATATGGGATTGTAGGTTAAATGAAACAACGTCTATAACATTCTTACAACAATGTCTGCAACAAAAGCGTCTAATAGATGTTATTTCTTATTATCTTACACCCAACGTTTTAAGTTTCTAACACTGAAGGTCCAGATGCTACATTTAATTTAGGTGACCCATGGAAATGTCTGCTCCTTGTCTCTTGCCTTTCCCCTCATGCCAACCTAGATTTGAATTCTCATAAAATATTCCAGGGGGATTGAATTTTGAGCTTCCCAAAGGAAGAAATAAAGAGACGAAAGTCAGCCTGTCCCCACCGGGGTTGGCATATGACAAAGATCTGAAGTGGCTCTGAGGCTTCATGGAAGACAGTTGAAAATCATATTGTCAGCTTGAAATGCATCAAAGCTATTTGCTGGCTTGAACTACCCTAGGGAGAATTCCCATTCAGTTCAATCCGTGCAAAATCATGCTTGGCCCTGGCAGGATGGGGACTAAGTTACCACCCCATATGGCACCTAATTTGTGATAATCCCTCCACAAGAAAGAAATAATGACAGTAATAACCACACTTCACCCACAAAAACTACTCAGAAAGGGACATTCTCTCCACTGAGACAAATTCTGATATTACTCTGTGCTGTGGAAAGGCTGACAAAGCTCCTCACTCCATAGCTAATAAGGAGGATATCTTGCCTAGGCTGTGAACATTAAGAAAGTCCACCGATATTAACAAACACCCGTGCCCCATCGCTATGGGTGTGATGCTAAACACAGAGAAAGAACTGATATGTCCACTTCAAGTTATTTTTCTTGTGTTTAATTCCACTTCATTAGTCAGAATTTCCCCTGTACCTTAGTGTAATCTAGATTCAGTGACATTTTCATTTGGATTGTTGATTAATGTGTTCCTTCTACGAAAAAGGATTCTGCAACCTTCAAGAGGAAGTTCCAACTGTGAGAACTATGACCAGCCCAGTCTTTCCTCCTTGAATGGCTGCATTGAGCACCTTCTGCCACACACGTCCCATGAGCCTTGAATAATTTGGCTTCTCAGGGATCAGGGGTATACAGTGTTCCTGGGACTGTGGTTTGTAAAACATACACAGTTCCTTTCAGTTTTCTCATGGATTTAAGGCCATGTAATAGTGTAGGCTATCTCTTCACAGGAAGAAACAGGTTAATGACAGAAGGGGGCAGGTTCCAAACCCTTCAGAATTAGACAAGAGTCAAGATAACATGGAGCCTTTATTTTCTCATGATTTCTTTGCAGGACTCCATAGTATGATTAGCTAGGAGAAACCAAAATTTCATTCTTGATTAATCCAAAGAAATGAGCAAGGCCAAGTCAACTGAAATGTCTTTGGTTAAGGCAAACACGCTTCACAAAGTAAATGGTAAGTGCCAACACCCTGCCTCTATCTAGTTAGTAGAACATGGTGACCATTACTACTTTGACACTCAAATACTTTTCTTCATATTCTTATCATTCTCATAAGAAATACTGGACCAATGTTAAATGGTTGTGACTCATAAAGCAGCCATAAGAATTTCAAATTAGATCTTTCTGTTTACCACATAAAACTATTAACATGCACAAACCAAATTCCATAATAATCTGCCTGATATAGCAATAATATATTATATATTACATATGTTCTAAATAAGTCTAAAGGTTAATGCTCTAAAGGCCTGAAAATAATAACTGAGACTTAGACGAATGGATAGTGTTGGTTGACTAGTAAGAGACCAAGTTCCAAACTATGTTCTGTCTGCTTATGTTCAACTGAGCACTCCACCCACCCCTCAAATTACCTGTCCTCTGTAAGCCTGCATTTCTCATTTATAAAGTGAGAATAATAATATTCTCATCTCATAGAATTTTCATAATGATTAAATGAGCGGATCTGCAGATGACACTTATCCCAATGTCTACAGTGCAATAAGCCCTTAGTGAGACTTATCCAAGATGATGTTGATGATTACTATTTCACTTTGCATTTTACTAAGTTTTTCAATCTATGTAAAAACACAGGATTTTCTTTCCCATTTTACTTCTCTTTTTCCTCATTTCTAAAAGAAGAGGAGTGTTTGACAGATACGACAATAGTGGCAAGAGCAACTTTCCATTGCCTCAAAAATGCTCCACTCAATAATTATGTTAATTGCAAGAAGCCAAGCACACAAAGACAAACATCACATGTTCTCACTTATTTGTGGGATCTAAAAATCAAAACAATTGAACTCATGATGATAGAGAGTAGAAGAATGGTTGCCAGAGGTTGGGAAGGGTAATGGGGGGCTGGGGTGGAGGAAGTAAGGATGGTTAATGAATACAAAACATGGTTCAAAAGAATTAATAAGACCTACCGTTTGATAGCATAACAGGGTGACCATAGTCAATAATAACTTAATTGTACATTTTAAAATAACTAAAAGTTTGTAATTTGATTGTTTGTAACACAAAAGATAAATACTTCTAGGATGGATACTTCATTCTCTCTGATGTGATTATTTCACATTGCATACCTGTATCAGTCTCTTCTCATGGTGCTCATAAAAACATACCCAAGAATGGGTAATTTGTAGAGAAAGAGGTTTAATTGACTCACAGTTCAGCATGGCTGTGGAGGACTCAGGAAACTTAGAATCATGGCAGAAGGGAAAGCAAACATGTCCTTCTTCACATGGCAGCAGGAAGGAGAAGTGAGTGCTCAGCAAAGGGGAAAGGCCCTTATAAAAATCATCAGATCTTGTGAGAACTCACTCACTATCATGAGAACAGCATGGGAGGAAATCAAGCCCATGATTTGATTATCTTCACCTGAAGATAATTGAGTCATGGGGATGCCCACTATGATTCGATTATTTTCAGATGGAGATAATCACACCATGGAGGTGGAAGGTTGTTTCCCCCATGGCCCTACCCTTGAAATATGGGGATTGTCACAATTCAAGGTGAGACTTGGGTGAGGACACAGAGCCAAATCATATCAACACCTGTTTCAAAATATCTCATGAACCACATAAATATATGCACCCACTATATGCCCACTAAACATTAAAAAATACTTAAAAAAACTCCACTCTGGGGAAACGAATATCTAGTGCAAGAGATGAGAGTTCTCATAGCAGGTGAAAAATAGAGAAACAAAGTAAGAAACTTGTGAAGTCAAAAAGGACAGTCTCAATTCGGGGCAGAAGGAAGAGGAGTCAGGTGCACAGATTTACTTTACTGTGAGCCTGGGAGAGCTGAGCTTGTCATTGATTGAATGGAGACCCAAGGGAAATGATAAAAGGTGATATTTACACTATTTCCTGGGCACAGATTCTATTCCTAATTGGCTTCCAGGAAGAGCAGATTCTTTGGGCAATGAAACAATGTACTCCTTTTTGGATATTAAGGACACAAAAGAAGAGTTACATAAGCTGTCTTGGTTGATTATCATTACTCTCTGAGCTAGATAACATTATTACCCACATTTAATAGGTTAGACCATGGTTGGTTCCTCAGCTTTTCAGGGCCATACTCATTTTTGAGACTTAGATGAAAGGGCTGGTCTCTTTATCAGCAAAGTTCTCATACATGTAGAATGTTGCATACAATTTCTGGGAGTTAACTCATCACATGAGGCCCATTCATAAAATTATTTCAGGATTAGTGCAAAGAACCAATACATCTCCCAGAAGTACAGAATGTGCTCCCTATGTACATGGACTGTGTCTTGCTCATTCATTGTGCTGCTTCCACTGTCAGACAGATGTGTGAGAGGTGGTTTTTGGTGGAAACATGAAGAAATAAACAGTCTCTTCTGGCCATGTGTTTTACAAACATTATCTTAGCTGATGTTTTCAAGACCTTTTAAAAAAGAGATTATGAGCCCCATTTTACAGATGAAGAAATAGGTAATAGAAAGTTTATGTGTCTTTTCCAAGGTCATAGGGGTTTTAAAATCTGAATTTGAACCCAGGTGTATCTTCTCACTCCTTTAGTGTCTTAGTCAGCTTGGGTTGCCATAACAGAATACCACAGACTGGGTATTCAAGATCAAAGTGTTGGCTGATTCGGTTCCTAGTGAGGGATCTTTTCCTGGCTTGCAGACAGCCACCTTCTTGCAGTGTCCTCACATGCTGCAGAGGAAGAGCTAACTCTGGTGTCTCTTTTCTCTTTTTATAAGGACACCAGCTTCATTGGATCAGAACACATTGCTGATGACTTCATTTAACTTTTATCACCCCTCACAGACCCTATCTCTACAAATACAGTCACATGGAGGTTGGGGCTTCAACACATAATTTTTGGGGTGACTCAAATCTTCAGTCCATAACATGCACCATTCTGCATCTAGAGGAAGGTAGTGAGATAGAAATAACTGGGTTTCTCATTGCAGCATTATATCCAAAGTTGTACGTCTTTTATGTTGGTTAACTGCTGGGAGACATTTTGTCTGGGTAATTTTTGCAAGCTCAAAAGGCTGATTTCCTATAGAAAGAAACCCCATACTAAGTTAGTGGCATGTTCTGGTCCTGTAAGAGTGATTTCCTTGCATTCTGTCAGTGTGTGGTTTCCATAAGATGGATCTCCTCACATACCACTAATCTTATATCAATATCAACATCCCACAGGAGTTGCAATATCTAGGTCTCATAGGAAAAGGGAAGTCTTGCATTTCTACTCCTACTGAGCTGACTAGCTCTCACAGGCTAGTGGTGAAGATGGAACTTTAAAGTAGCTTCTGATTGTAATAAGAGCAAGCTAAATCAGAGGCAGTAGATAGAAGAAGCTGGACCGAAACCTATCATTTTCTATCTACCCTTCCACCTCCATTCACCCAATTAGGTTTTGGTTGCCTAAGAAAGAGATTTTTTGTCCCTTTTCTCTTTTTACTTAATGTCTTCTGACATGTAATCTCAGCTATCACTAACACTCAAGAGTTTCCCTTCGTAAGTTCAATGTGCCACTATCATCAGAACCATAGTGCCTCCTTCAGTGAATTTCCAGATGTTCATCAGTCTAACTCCTTTTCTCATGGTTATTTTCCTCTAAGTGGCCAATGGGGCCCCCAAATAGTCTGTACTTTTACAAACTTTTTAAAAACATAGAACATATAAAGTTACTTCTATATTCATTATTTATTTTGCTCACATATTTTTATTATTTATCTCTTGGAATAGGTACAAATTGTTAAGGTATTGCAGAATTTACATGATTTTGAATTAATGAGGTATGAGGTGCTGTGCCTAATGTAAGATGACTTATTCCACCATAAGGTTTTGTTAGTAATGTAGTCACGAAAGCTAATATTTATTTTTGTCATTATTATATGTCAGTATTTTGCTGAGTACTTAAAGCATGACTTATGTGCTCTCTTATTTCCTTGAGCAGTGGTTTGTAGTTCTCCTTGAAGAGGTCCTTCACATTCTTCGTTAGCTATATTCCTAGGTATTTTATTCTCTTTGTAGGAATTGTGAATGGGAGTTCACTCATGATTTGACTCTCTCTGTCTGTTGCTGGTGTATGGGAATGCTTGTGATTTTTGCACACTGATTTTGTATACTGAGACTTTGCTGAAGTTGCTTATAATCTTAAGGAGATTTTGGTCTGAGACGATGGGATCTTCTAAATACACAGTCATGTTATCTGCAAATAGAGACAATTTGACCTTCTCTTTTCCTAATTGAATACACTTTTTTTTTCTTGCCCAATTGCCCTGGCCAGAACTTCCAATACTATATTGAATAGGAGTGGTGGGAAAGGGCACACTTATCTTATGCCCGTTTTCAAAGGGAATGCTTCCAGTCTTTGCCCATTCAGTATGATATTGGCTGTGTGTTTGTCATAAATTGTTCTTACTATTTTGAGATACACCCTATCGATACTTAGTTTATTGAGAGTTTTTAGCATAAAGGTCTGTTGAATTTTGTCAAAGGCCTACTCTCTGCATCTATTGAGATAATTATGTGGTTTTTGCCTTTGGTTCTGTTTATGTAATGGATTACGTTTATAGGTTTGCATATGTTGAACTAGCCTTGCATCCCAGGAATGAAACTGACTTGATAGTGATGCATAAGCTATTTGATGTGCTGTTGGATTTGGTTTGCTAGTAATTTATTGAGGATTTTTGCATCAGTGTTCATCATGGATATTGGCCTGAAATTTTCTTTTTTAGTTGTGTCTCTTCCAGGTTTTGGTATCAGGAAGATGTTTATCTCATAGAATGAGTTAGGGAGGATTCCCTCTTTTTGTATTGTTTGGAATGGTTTTAGAAGGAATGATACCAGCTCCTCTTTGTACCTCTGGTAGAATTTGGCTGTGAACCTGTCTGGTCCTGGAATTTTTTTTTGGTTGGTAGGCTATTAATTGCTGCCTCAATTTCAGACCTTGTTATTGGTCTAT